CCTTTGAAGAGAAATGGATGTGAAATCCATTTCAGCAGTCATGATCCAAACCTTTGTCTTCACTGATATATCTTCCAGTTCTGAATACTGCACTAACATTTTCATAAAGGTCATGGACTCCATTGCACCATATAAGACTATCACCTTGGCTGTGCTCTTCACAATGATATAGTAGGTTTTGTATGCTTCATCCATCACATCTGTAAAGTCACTGTAAAAAGCTACATTTGGGAACTTTCCTATGAAATCCAAGCAGATACCATTCGTGGACAACATGGGGAGGACAACCTCTACAACTTTCTCTCCTTTGTCATCATTCACAGCAAGAAAGCCAATCCAGATCCATCTAAAATACAGCAATAGCTGAAGGAGGCCCTTATTTTGGTGGGATTCATCTGGAAACATTTGCTGGATGAAAATAGCTTGAGTTGCTTTATCCGTGACTGGAGCAGAGCCATAGGTCAGCTAAGAAAAATAAAGGGGAAGAATGAAGAATGTGAAAAGCTGTTGTCACCTTCAAGGTACAAGGCACCTATTTGGTGCCTTCAAGTCAGTTTTCTCAGCAAGATTTTGGAAGAGGTTTCCTATTGCCTGGTTCCTAGGGCTGAGCGAGAGAGACTGGCCCAAGGTCACCCAACTGGCTTTGTACCTAGTGGGGCTTGAACTCATGGCCTTGTGGTTTCTAGCCCATTGCCTTAACCACTATACCAAACTGGGTCTCTGAATGGTGTTACACTTTTTAAATTATAATGCCTATTTTCAAACATCAGTTGGGATGTATCATGGATTCCATGTGTCTATGGTGATTATGAACAAACTGGACTACAATTTTTTCCCATGTATTGTGAACATGAGATCATTATGAATATATCATTGTAGAAAACGTCTGGACAAGAACTAAAACTTATTGGCCTTAGGAGGAAACTGAGCTGAGCATATGCTCTACTGCTCAAGACTGAATATGGAAAACACAATGAATAAATTAAAAAAAAAAAACCTTAACAATTGCATGACCGTCTTTTGAAAAATAAATAGCAAATTTTAGGAGATGTTTCAAATCACAGCCCTGGCGTTACAGATGCATGAAGACTTTTGCATTGGGAAGAAATTCCCATTAAAATGAATGGAAATCTTTTCTGCAAAGAACACAATAAGCATAAGAATGCAGTGCGGGTTCAAAGGCTTAAAACCCCATGCAACACAACCGAGATCCAGATTGGACACCCTGTGCCAACAAAAAGTTAATCATAGAATTTCTGATCGTTTGCTTAGGTTGATATTCTTATACACATTAAGCATCACTTTTAGCACACTGCTCCAAAATTCTGAGTGGCCAAGACTTTTGGTAATTGAATACAACAGGATAACACTTAAATATATACAGATATTAATATATAGCAACTTGTCTTCTAGTTTCACAAAGATTCACCTCCTTGCCAAGTGTCAACACTGATTATGCAACCAATCAACCAATCAAAAGTGAATCAAAAGTCTGAGTTAAAGCTTTTTCCTAAAGATGGATATCTTTTAACTTTAGAGGAAATGTTTGCATTTGAGAAGAATCACTCATAACTTCAAGCAGACACCTTCAGACTAAATGAGGCATTACTCTGTGATCCAGAAACCAATTCTGGAATGAAGCTATTAGATGGATGAAGCCTAAAACAAAGACCAGGTAATGTCCATGGAATGCAAATTACAAGTCTGTTTCACAAATTGGAAACTTTATTTGTAATTTTAATCTAGAATTTCTTTTTCCAGCATAAGGTAAGCTTTCTTTTTCAATCATACCCTTTCCCAACCCTCAGCCAGAAAATTGGATCCAAATGATCACAAGAACAGTAAATGGCTTGTTCAGTTCTTACGTGTCATCAGTACACTTTACCTGGGGAACTTTGTAGATGCCCAGTATGGTTGCCATGTAGAGACAGATGTCAGGTCCCCCAATAACTGCAGCTGGATTGTTCTGGACACCACACTTAAAATTAGGGATGAATCTATTTTCAGCAAAGAGAAGTTCCATTGAGGCAAGGTAGGTCCAGCTTGGACTGAAATAGCTATTATAGATGTTAAATCCCACGGTGACATTGGGTAAAATCTGGGGATTTTCATTTATCTCCTTTATAGCAAAAACTAAGGCCAGGATGTGTTGGTAACTCTGAAACAGTACCCTGCAATGAAAACTGTATGCTGTTTTTAAAGGAAGTGGTTCCAAAAAGTATTTCCTGTATTTATGCTTAAATTCACTTTAATTCTGAGCATTTAATACATTGCATAAAAATACACTATCATCCAAATAAATGCAAAAAACCCCTCTCCTTTGGACTTTTCTGAACAAGCAAGCATTGCCTTTGTGTTAGTAAAAATAATTTGCATTGTACATGTATATAGAATTCACAGTATCACAGACCATCTTCATAATATTGGATGTGAACCAAGAGCTAAGAAAGTTACTTCTGATACCAATAATGCAAAATAGAAGTCATAGCTAATCTTAGCTAATCTTAGACCTATACATAAATTTAAATCAAACACAATCTGGGCACCTGATTGTTTCTTCTTAATGGTTACTCCATAAAAATTGTTACCAAGATGTTTGGTACCATTCATGCATTCAACAGAAGAATGCAGTATTGACAGAGAGTTTCCATATCAGAATGTTAAAGGTTAAAAAAATGTTTAAAACAATTAAGGCACCCTGTGTATTACTGGGTGATGGTAGCTGTAGTTGAATCATTAGATTCAACACTGGGATAAAAATACAAGACTTACGCAAAATCATCAAGAAGGTCCAAAGAAGGGTGTTGAGTGAAAGTAACAGGGCTGGAAAAAACATAGAGCTGAGAAATAATGCTGGCAATTCTGACATCTCCAGACTGAACGTACTTATGAAGAATAGGGAGAGGTTTATTAATATTGCAATTACGATTATGGACCTTACATACCACCCAGGCATTGATTATAATAATGAAACAATAAATACCACCATATTGCCTGAAAGCCATCCTTCTATATACAAATGGACTTGTTTCCACTTTGGTAAGTGCATATTTCCTTGGTGAGTGGGTGATACTTGTAAGTGCATATTTCCAAATTGCAGAGCCTGCCATGATTCTCTCAGTTGTTTTGAAGACCAAACTGAACAATGTAACATATCAATGATCAAAGGGACAAAGACTTGTCTGCCTGTAGCCCCAGTTCTGAACGTTTGGGGGAATATTAATAGCAT